ACATCCTACACCCAGCTTCTACCTCTCTTCTACCTATACCACTGTTCTATCCCACTACCCCTCTTCTACCTCTCTACCACTGTTCTATCCCACTACCCCTCCTCTATCCCCTCTACACATCCTACACCCCGCTTCTACCTCTCTTCTACCTATACCACTGTTCTATCCCACTACCCCTCTTTTACCTCTCTACCACTGTTCTATCCCACTACCCCTCCTCTATCCCCTCTACACATCCTACACCCCGCTTCTACCCCTCTTCTATCTCTCTACCACTGTTCTATCCTACTACCCCTCTTCTACCTCTCTACCACTGTTCTATCCCACTACCCCTCTTCTACCTCTCTACCTCTGTTCTATCTCACTACCCCTCCGCTATCCCCTCTACACATCCTACACCCCGCTACTACCCCTCTTCTACCTCTCTACCACTGTTCTATCCTACTACCCCTCTTCTACCTCTCTACCACTGTTCTATCCCACTACCCCTCTTCTACCTCTCTACCTCTGTTCTATCCCACTACCCCTCCTCTATCCCCTCTACACATCCTACACCCCGCTACTACCCCGCTTCTACCCCTCTTCTACCTCTCTACACATCCTACTACCCCTCCTCTATCCCCTCTGCACATCCTACACCCCGCTTCTACCCCTCTTCTACCTCTCTACCACTGTTCTATCCTTCTACCCCTCTTCTACCTCTCTACCACTGTTCTATCTTACTACCCCTCCTCTATCACCTCTACACATCCTACACTCCGCCTCTACTCCTCTTCTACCTCTCTACCACTGTTCTATCCCACTACCCCTCCTCTACCTTCCTCTACACATCCTTCACCCCGCCTCTACTCTCTTCTACCTCTCTACCACTGTTCTATCCCACTACCCCTCCTCTATCCCCTCTACACATCCTACACCCCGCTACTACCCCTCTTCTACCTCTCTACCACTGTTCTATCCTACTGCCCCTCTTCTACCTCTCTACACACCCTTGACCCCGCTTCTACCCCTCTTCTACCTCTCTACATATCCTACTACCCCTCCTCTATCCCCTCTGCACTTCCTACACCCCGCTACTACCCCTCTTCTACCTCTCTACCACTGTTCTATTCCACTACCCCTCTTCTACCTCTCTACCTCTGTTCTATCCCACTACCCCTCTTCTACCTCTCTACCACTGTTCTATCCCACTGCCCCTCCTCTATCCCCTCTACACTTCCTACACCCCGCTACTACCCCTCTTCTACCTCTCTTCCACTGTTCTATCCCACTACCCCTCCTCTATCCCCTCTGCACATCCTACACTCCGCCTCTACTCCTCTTCTACCTCTCTACCACTGTTCTATCCCACTACCCCTCTTCTACCTCTCTACCACTGTTATATCCCACTACCCCTCCTCTACCTTCCTCTACACATCCTTCACCCCGCCTCTACTCTCTTCTACCTCTCTACCACTGTTCCATCCCACTACAAGTCCTCTATCCCCTCTACACATCCCACATTCCGCCTCTACTCTCTTCTACCTCTTTACCACTGATCTACACCCTCTTCCCGTCCTCTACCAGCCCTACCCTTTGTTTACGCATCCTCTACTGTCGTCTACCCGTCTACCCCTCCGCTTCCTCTTTAACCCTAATCTAGAACCTTTTCTACCCCTCTTCCCCTTCTCTACCCTAATCTACCCCTCCGCTACACCTTTAGCGCTCCTCTATCCTCCTCTACCCCTCCTCTATTCGTATTGCCCATTGTGTATTTAGTTTTATCTTACACAATTAAAAACCATCTTACTTCTGCCTGACTTTACATAGAAACCATACGTGTATTTCACACCGTCATGCCAAACAGGTAGTTTGTCAAATAGAATACATACAATTTCATTCATGGAAAAATAGATATTTAGGTGTATCTTAATGTGTGGGCTTTTTCAGAGAACACATCCTTATTATGAAGGACAAGATTATCACCTGTTTGCATTAACTGTGTGAATTTCATTGGAGATGAGGGCGGTCGGGTAGCATGGTGGTTGAAGCGTTCGCTCGTCACACCGAAGACCCGGGTTCGATTCCCGACATGGGCACAATGTGTGAAGCCCATTTCTGGTGTCCCCCGCCGTGATATTGCTGGAATATTGCTAAAAGCAGCGTACTCCCTAACTCACACATAAGAGATGGACATTCAGTGTAATATAGCGAGAGATACTTTCACATATAAACATAACATGATGTTCATCTTTTATACACGTACATTTTTATTACATTATGACGTATATAACTATATGTTCCAAACCCTATGTTTAAACGGAAATTATTACAGCTAAACTGAGATGTGTATATTTATGAAATATGGAATATCACTTAAATGATGATCTGTGTTCAACATACATTTGAGCTGATAATAGTAATTACATTTCAAAGACATTTCCATTACAAAATGCCAGTAGAGAGATTGTCTGATAGTCTTTGCTGAAATTTATTAGGGAATAATGTAATATCGACCATTGGTTGTTATATCCAGACCAGTCCATAACCTAAACTGAACAGACTGTTATTAATTGACGTAGTCCATATCACACTGTCTGCATCATAACGTGATTTTAACATCGCGAAGATTTGATGAGGTTATCTTAGAGAGTCAAGATGAAGAGGTCTGCACCCAAGGGCGGATCCAGCATTTCTAAAAGGGAGAGGTCTGGATCCCCTGGACACCCCTGCCCCGCCTATGGCACCAATATTTCCCGGGGGCACGGGTGGCCCAGTCGTCTAAGGCGTCGCGATTCGCTGTGCAGAGTTGCGTCTTTGGGCACACCAGAAACATATGCTTGTGGGTTCGATACCCGGCTCGCCCCGATTATGTTTCTAGGTTTGTCAGCACCATACCCATGCTCGTGGGTTTCACCGAAGTGGTAAACGTCTGAGACCTGCATCACTTCGGGCTTTCCTCCCACATTAAGCTGACACGCTATAACTGTAAACCTGTTGAAAGCGGCGTTAAACCCAACTAACTAACTCACTCACTCACTCACCAATATATGTCCTGAAGACGGACTACAGAGGGAGTCTCCCACACTCCCCAGGGACCATATCAGTAGGTGAGACGAAGATGCATAAGTTACAGAAGGCTATATGGACATGTGTTGTATTTTCAGCTTCGAGACCCAAGATCGGAACGACAGCACTGTTTAATATTTTAAAGCTGTCTTGGAAAGATAGGCATTCATTATTCTTTTTATAGTAGTTGATAAATCTGATTGATTTGTTTTCTTGAGATGTAAGACTACTGAATGTTTTACTGTTCGACAACATGGGGGTGAAAGCCGTTCCTAAATATTTATAAAAAAAAATATTTTTTTTAATAAATTCTCCCTTGAAATACCACTTTTCGTAGCCTTTCAATATTCCGCTTGTCGAAACAAAATAACTGTATTTACTACCATTCCAGTGGAGTCGGAGATATTTTCATTAACGTGTATTATATTTTGTAGCTGTGAAGCACTGTCTGCGTATGATAATAAAAATCGATGTGGTATCTAATAGGGCTGGGACGTGTAACTCGGGTACTCGGGTCGGGCGGGTCTTCAATATGATCTGGCTACCCACAGGACTACCAGGACCCGTGGTTAGTTAGGTGATATATTGTTTAATGGCAAAAATGATCTTGAACTCTATGGTTACACTACAAGTCACTAATGGTCGCATTTTTCTGACTATTAACACATTCCTTCTGATTTTCATATTTTTGAATAAAGATAAAGCTTCAGTCAACTTCTGCATGGCCAGATCGTTTTTATACGTCTACATCGTCTGAATACATTTTGCAAGGGCTACGATCAAACTATGCCTAAGCGGATATGTTGTACCCATCTCTTGAGACCTACAGCGGTACCGGTTAGGTGACGGGTGGCATACATCAGGACTCGTCCGAGGTGTGGTGAGGTGAAATGGGGTTTAACGTCGCGTCCAAGATTATTGCACTTATATAGCGACGTGCATGTACGTGTGTGTGTTTGGGTGGCTGCTTGTTCTAGTCCGGACTGATGCCGATTTATAGTGCTAGCTCACTGAGATACCATACCGCAGTTTAACATGAATACCCCACTCAGACACAGTATACTGACTCCGAGCCGACCAGTCCTTGTTTTAGCCCCTTAATGCCGAGCGCCAGACAGGGTAACAACAAGTACCATCTTTTAACGTCTTTTGGTATGACGCGGTCGGGGATCGAACCCCGGACCTTCCGCTCTCCGGGAGGACGCTCTACCACTGGACCACGGAGGCGGTCTCTGACTACTAATAAATATACGTGACCACCATTTCGTTCTAACATCACTGTGAGTTCATTTAATAATACGTTTGGTCTGAAAACACCTCCCTCACGTACACCGAAATTACAGTCGAAGTTACCAGAAAGACCATCCTTTTATTCAAACACATGACGATAAGATAAGAATGCATCGATGCAAGTGATCGGACAAAGTTGTTCCCGTTTATTTAACTCGATTTAAACATGTTATAACAACGTCGTTGTTTACGGAGTCGAAAGCGTAAACTTTTGAGCTAGACATTTGAAAAAGATTATTAAAATGGATATTTCTTTTAAATTACATTTGAAAATTGAAAACAATAAAGCAAAGAAAAAGATTAAGGCAAAGATAAAGGCTAAGAACTACGCAGGAACCGACTATGATACTTAATATTTAATTTTTTTTTTTTTATATTTCATTTTTTAAAAATAATAATGAGGGGTAGGAGGTTTCGTTAGTGACAGGATTTATATAATTTCTGTGAACGGTGAAGCCAAACATAATCTATTCAGGGACTTCCAGTTTGATTTGCAAATTAGTTTTGGGATAAAACCTGAGAATTTCCTTTTTCACAAAGCAATCCCAGGATCCGGTATATCCGGTTCCTAATCAATTTCGATTCACGTTAAACATAGTACACTTAAGTCACGTAGTACTTTCTATAAAAAAAACTTTATCGGGTAGGTCAGCGCTGACCACTGATAACTAAAACATATAAAAAGCGTCTTAATATTTTGCTTGGCCTCTCACATCTGATAGGAAACGGTAAGGTCGCTTGTTAACCTTAGCTGGACATTTGTCAGTCTCATGTAACTATCTACTTGATACTTTTTCTACGGTCTTTCATACTGGTCAGAAGTGGTTGTAGTTGTGTTTGCAGTGATATTTTATTTGCTGATGTTCCTATTACGATTGTAGTATTATTAGAAATGTTACACTGGAAGAAAGTATTACATATATTTACTTTCAAACGTTTGTACATAACTACCTTAAAACATGGTCAAGATGATGTTTGCTTTCAGTGTTAGCTTGTATAAATACGGCGTCATAATCATTATCAGTAGTAGTTGTAGTAGAAGTAGTAGTAGTAGTTGTAGTAGTAGTTGTAGAAGTAGTAGTTGTTGTAGTAGTTGTAGTTGCAGTAGTAGTAGTTGTTGTAGTAGTAGTAGTAGTAGTAAAAGTAGTAGTAGTTGTAGAAGTAGTAGTAGTAGTAGTTGTAGTAGTAGTAGTAGTAGAAGTAGTAGTAGTTGTAGAAGTAGTAGTTGTAGTAGTAGTAGTAGTTGTAGTAGTAGAAGTAGTAGTAGTTGTAGTAGTAGTAGTTGTAGTAGTAGTAGTAGTAGTTATACCTTCTGTAATTTGTACAATATCTACACATATTTTATGAAGTTGACACTTGACCTTCCAGACTTTTACAACCATGAAGTTCGCCATCATCATCCTTGTGCTTCTGCCCCTTGCATACTGCAACATCCTCAGCCGTAAGTGTCTTGTTGATTGGTCAATGAGCTAGTTCACCATTACGATCGATACAATCAGCAGCAAATATAAAAGCCACCATGCCTACCTCTGGGTCTAGTGGTAGAGCGTCCGCCCGGAGAGCGGAAGGTACGGGGTTCGATTCCTGGCAGCGTCATATCAAACGACGTGAGTGAGGTAGCATTGTTCTACGCCGTTTTTTAGCAATATTCCAGCAATATCACGGCGGGGGACACCAAAAATGGGCTTGACACAGTGTACCTAAAAATGCGTTAAAAGATGGTACTTTATGTTACAATGCCTGGCGTTCGGCATTAAGGGCCCAAAACAAGGACTGGTTGATTCGGAGTCAGAATACTGTGTCTGAGTGGGATATTCATGTTAAACTGCGGCATGGTATCTCAGTGGTCTAGCTCTTTATAATCGGCATTAGTCTCGACTAGTACAAGCAGCCACACACACACACGTGCATACACGTCGCTATATAAGTGAAATAATCTTGAACGCTACGTTTACCCCATACGTCGTTACAATACGTTACGTTACTCACTCACTCACTCACTCACTCACTCACTCACACACTCACTCACCCACCCACCCACCCACTCACTCACTCACTCACTCACCCACTGAAACACTCACTCACTGAAACACTCACTCACTCACTCACTCACTGAAACACTCACTCACTGAAACACTCACTGAAACACTCACTCACTCACTCACTCACTCACTCACTCACTCACTCACTATGTTTTCCCGTCCAGAGTTCTCCCACCTGTTTGATGGCGCTGAGCTGAAGTCGATTGTACAGAAGATCTTTGACACGGTTGGTTCCGACGCCACCGAGGCTGCCTGTGAATCAGAGTGCGTCGTCCTCGTCCACAATAACGTCCTCTTGTCCAGCGGTTGCGACCTCGTTTGCAGATCGTGAGTGAACGTCCATGTATTATACATGTAGCCTGGTCAACGTGGCTTGAAAATGTGAAAATGACCAAACTTTTCATACTCACAAGACATATCTGCAAACAGCAGAGTCGATTTACGATTCCGACGACCAGTATATCAAGATCATGTGTTTATGAATCACTATCAAATAGTGATGACACCAGGTGTTCTAATACTTACAGAATATGTGTTCTTACTTCCATAATGGACCGCCTCCGTGGTCTAGTGGTAGAGCGTCCGCCCGGAGAGCGGAAGGTCCGGGGTTCGATCCCCGGCCGCGTCATACCAAAAGACGTTCAAAGATGGTAATTGTTGTTACCCTGTCTGGCGCTCGGCATTAAGGACTGGTAGGCTTGGAGTCAGTATACTGAGTCTGAGTGGGGTATCATGTTAAACTGCGGCATGGTATCTCAGTGGGCTAGCACTATAAATCGGCATCAGTCCGGACTAGTACAAGCAGCCACACACACACACACACACACGTGCATGCACGTCGCTATAAAAGTGCAATAATCTTGGACGCGACGTTAAACCCAATTTCACCCAACCTCACCTCACTTACATAATGGCAACCGTCACCTTAACCATATCCTATCATCTCACTTTAAGCTGGCCTACTTCTTTTTAAACCAACATCCATCACTAAACGTGATTCACCGTAATCTATTTAAGGCCAATCAATGCATCTAAGATAGAATAGATATCCTCTGTAGACCTTCAAAAAATGTGTTCTTGCTTCCAGCTTCCAGTCCCTCGTCAGCCACTTCCACATCGCCTAGATCCGGGCACCGGTTCAAAAATTGTTACACTAATAAAACTGTAAAAAACTATGTTTGTCGTTGCGTTTTTAACGTTATTGTGAGTACGCATCAACAACATAAGCGTCATCAACAACATGGACATGGGGGCAACAACACTTCCGCGATCTTCTCCACTAAGGAGCCTACACATAGAGTGTTTTATTCCTACAGTACAGATGCAGTGATGGTTCATAGAGCCTACACATAGAGTGTTTTAGTCCTACAGTTAGATGCAGTGATGGTTCACAGAGCCTTCACATAGAGTGTTTTAGTCCTACAGTACAGATGCAGTGATGGTTCACAGAGCCTACACATAGAGTGTTTTAGTCCTACAGTACAGATGCAATGATGGTTCATAGAGCCTACACATAGTGTGTTTTAAGTCCTACAGTACAGATGCAGTGATCGTTCATAGAGCCTACACATAGAGTGTTTTAGTCCTTCAGTTCAGATGCAGTGATGGTTCATGGAGCCTACACATAGAGTGTTTTAGTCCTACAGTACAGATGCAGTGATGGTTCATGGAGCCTACACATAGAGTGTTTTAGTCCTACAGTACAGATGCAGTGATGGTTCATGGAGCCTACACATAGAGTGTTTTAGTCCTACAGTACAGATGCAGTGATGGTTCATAGAGCCTACACATAGAGTGTTTTAGTCCTACAGTACAGATGCAGTGATGGTTCATGGGGCCTACACATAGAGTGTTTTAGTCCTACAGTACAGATGCAGTGATGGTTCATGGGGCCTACACATAGAGTGTTTTAGTCCTACAGTACAGATGCAGTGATGGTTCATAGAGCCTACACATAGAGTGTTTTAGTCCTACAGTACAGATGCAGTGATGGTTCATAGAGCCTACACATAGAGTGTTTTAGTCCTACAGTTCAGATGCAGTGATGGTTCATAGAGCCTACACATAGAGTGTTTTAGTCCTACAGTACAGATGCAGTGATGGTTCATAGAGCCTACACATAGAGTGTTTTAGTCCTACAGTTCAGATGCGGTGATGGTTCATAGAGCCTACACATAGAGTGTTTTAGTTCTACAGTACAGATGCAGTGATGGTTCACAGAGCCTACACATAGAGTGTTTTAGTCCTACAGTACAGATGCAGTGATCGTTCATAGAGCCTACACATAGAGTGTTTTAGTCCTACAGTACAGATGCAATGATGATTCATAAAGCCTACACATAGAGTGTTTTAGTCCTACAGTACAGATGCAATGATGGTTCATAGAGCCTACACATAGTGTGTTTTAGTCCTACAGTACAGATGCAGTGATGGTTCATAGAGCCTACACATAGAGTGTTTTAGTCCTACAGTACAGATGCAGTGATCGTTCATAGAGCCTACACATAGAGTGTTAAAGTCCTACAGTAAAGATGCAGTGATGGTTCATAGAGCCTACGCATACAGTGTTCTAGTCCTACAGTACAGATGCAGTGATGGTTCATAGAGCCTACACATAGAGTGTTTTAGTCCTACAGTACAGATGCAGTGATGGTTCATAGAGCCTACACATAGAGTGTTTTAGTCCTACAGTACAGATGCAGTGATGGTTCATGGGGCCTACACATAGAGTGTTTTAGTCCTACAGTACAGATGCAGTGATGGTTCATGGGGCCTACACATAGAGTGTTTTAGTCCTACAGTACAGATGCAGTGATGGTTCATAGAGCCTACACATAGAGTGTTTTAGTCCTACAGTACAGATGCAGTGATGGTTCATAGAGCCTACACATAGAGTGTTTTAGTCCTACAGTTCAGATGCAGTGATGGTTCATAGAGCCTACACATAGAGTGTTTTAGTCCTACAGTACAGATGCAGTGATGGTTCATAGAGCCTACACATAGAGTGTTTTAGTCCTACAGTTCAGATGCGGTGATGGTTCATAGAGCCTACACATAGAGTGTTTTAGTTCTACAGTACAGATGCAGTGATGGTTCACAGAGCCTACACATAGTGTGTTTTAGTCCTACAGTACAGATGCAGTGATCGTTCATAGAGCCTACACATAGAGTGTTTTAGTCCTACAGTACAGATGCAATGATGATTCATAAAGCCTACACATAGAGTGTTTTAGTCCTACAGTACAGATGCAATGATGGTTCATAGAGCCTACACATAGTGTGTTTTAGTCCTACAGTACAGATGCAGTGATGGTTCATAGAGCCTACACATAGAGTGTTTTAGTCCTACAGTACAGATGCAGTGATGGTTCATAGAGCCTACACATAGAGTGTTTTAGTCCTACAGTACAGATGCAGTGATGGTTCATAGAGCCTACACATAGAGTGTTTTAGTCCTACAGTACAGATGCAGTGATGGTTCATAGAGCCTACACATAGAGTGTTTTAGTCCTACAGTACAGATGCAGTGATGGTTCATGGGGCCTACACATAGAGTGTTTTAGTCCTACAGTACAGATGCAGTGATGGTTCATGGGGCCTACACATAGAGTGTTTTAGTCCTACAGTACAGATGCAGTGATGGTTCATAGAGCCTACACATAGAGTGTTTTAGTCCTACAGTACAGATGCAGTGATGGTTCATAGAGCCTACACATAGAGTGTTTTAGTCCTACAGTTCAGATGCGGTGATGGTTCATAGAGCCTACACATAGAGTGTTTTAGTCCTACAGTACAGATGCAGTGATGGTTCATAGAGCCTACACATAGAGTGTTTTAGTCCTACAGTTCAGATGCGGTGATGGTTCATAGAGCCTACACATAGAGTGTTTTAGTTCTACAGTACAGATGCAGTGATGGTTCACAGAGCCTACACATAGTGTGTTTTAGTCCTACAGTACAGATGCAGTGATCGTTCATAGAGCCTACACATAGAGTGTTTTAGTCCTACAGTACAGATGCAATGATGATTCATAAAGCCTACACATAGAGTGTTTTAGTCCTACAGTACAGATGCAATGATGGTTCATAGAGCCTACACATAGTGTGTTTTAGTCCTACAGTACAGATGCAGTGATGGTTCATAGAGCCTACACATAGAGTGTTTTAGTCCTACAGTACAGATGCAGTGATCGTTCATAGAGCCTACACATAGAGTGTTAAAGTCCTACAGTAAAGATGCAGTGATGGTTCACAGAGCCTACACATAGAGTGTTTTAGTCCTACAGTACAGATGCAGTGATGGTTCATAGAGCCTACACATAGAGTGTTTTAGTCCTACAGTTCAGATGCAGTGATGGTTCATAGAGCCCAACACATAGAGTGTTTTAGTCCTACAGTACAGATGCAGTGATGGTTCATAGAGCCTACACATAGAGTGTTTTAGTCCTACAGTTCAGATGCGGTGATGGTTCATAGAGCCTACACATAGAGTGTTTTAGTTCTACAGTACAGATGCAGTGATGGTTCACAGAGCCTACACATAGAGTGTTTTAGTCCTACAGTACAGATGCAGTGATCGTTCATAGAGCCTACACATAGAGTGTTTTAGTCCTACAGTACAGATGCAATGATGATTCATAAAGCCTACACATAGAGTGTTTTAGTCCTACAGTACAGATGCAATGATGGTTCATAGAGCCTACACATAGTGTGTTTTAGTCCTACAGTACAGATGCAGTGATGGTTCATAGAGCCTACACATAGAGTGTTTTAGTCCTACAGTACAGATGCAGTGATGGTTCATAGAGCCTACACATAGAGTGTTTTAGTCCTACAGTACAGATGCAGTGATGGTTCATAGAGCCTACACATAGAGTGTTTTAGTCCTACAGTACAGATGCAGTGATGGTTCATAGAGCCTACACATAGAGTGTTTTAGTCCTACAGTACAGATGCAGTGATGGTTCCTAGAGCCTACACATAGAGTGTTTTAGTCCTACAGTTCAGAATAAGGGTGGTGCATGGAGCCTACACATAGAGTTTTTCGTCCTTCAGTTCAAATGCAGGGTGGTTCATGGTGTCCCAAGATACAAGGGTGAATCATGATTTCCCAAGATACAAGGGTGGATCATGATGTCCCAAGATACAAGGGTGGTTCATGGTGTGCCAAGATACAAGGGTGGATCATGATGTCCCAAGATACAAGGGTGGATCATGGTGTCCCAAGATACAAGGGTGGATCATGGTGTCCCAAGATACAAGGGTGGATCATGGGGTCCCAAAATACAATGGTGGTCCCTGAATTTCAGTGATCCATTCATATAACTGTAATCGCTATATATAGAATCTGTTTCGGAAGCTATGCGAGACAACACGTGTTGGGTCGATCTGCGGTTTTCAAATATACTAAGATTATACCATTTCTTTGTGAAAGCCCATGAAATAACAGTATATATTATGAAATGATGTATCCACCGAAACATACTTCATCGATTTCCCATTGTTGTAAAAGTACATGTTATTTCACTCTATCGGCCTCCATTACACTCTGGTTTTCAGACTACAATCACGACATTAATAAAATAGAAATTTAGCATTTTCTTGTCAAATTTCGTGTTTTACTCATCTCGTCACCTGATAAAGTTGACATTTTCACAAAATATCAACTTGGTCAGGTCACCCAATTTGACTTAGGACCAATAATCATTAATAAGGAAGGATGAGTCACTCCGTGCGAGAAACCCCTTATTTCGACAACTTTGCTAAATTGCATACAGGAACACTTCAATAACGACCATCTGAAGGATTAAATACCATTGATGTGCCAAATATTGGGGATTTACAACTGTTTGTGTATGACCATGTGTAACCGTCAAATAATACACACCTTCGAGGGTTCAACCCCAAACAAACTTTCTCGAACACCTGGTATCATCACTATTTGATAGTGATTCATAAACACATGTTCATGAGATAGTCGGAATCGTACAATCGACTTTGCTTTTCTATTGAATATGGAAAGGGTTTTGTCGCTTTTATCATAATTATGATTAACGTATGGAACACTGTAAGGGACATTGTAAAGTGATAAAATTGTTAATTGTGCGAATTCAAAAACGCTTTCGTTCAAAATGATCTCGAATCCTCGCGATTTCAAAACGTCTCCAGTTTATGTGAGACAGCGGAACAATGCCTGTTTCTTTAATCCATACTAACGTATATATCCTAAAGTTTACAAAGTTAGAAGTTATGATTAAAATAATGAAACCGTGAGCTTTTATTATCCAACACTGAGTCAATACAATCAGTAATTGTTCAGCCATGCGGTCTCAGAATACACGTGCCTCTACTTCCTCTACAGTAAATATAAAGGCCAGAGAATAACCAGTTCCCGACAAAACTGATTCTATTGGGCGTAGGGGCGGTCGGGTAGCCTGAAAGCGTTCGCTCGTCACGCCGAAGATCCGAGATTCCCGACATGAGTACATTGTGTGAAGCCCATTTCTGGTGTCCCCCGTCGTGATGATGCTGGAATATTGTTAAAAGCGACGTAAAACCATAATCACCTACTCACTCACTCCCCATTGGGCGTAAAAGTCAAAATAGTGCTGAAAATTATATAAATGGATATCTGAAAATCAGTGTTACACCAGGTGTTCGCGAAAAGGGTAAGCATGCCCTGCCCTACCGGTAGCCCCCGCCAAACATTCTATTTGCATAAAAAAAAGTATGTGTCTGTAGCCTGCTAGTCTGTCTCACAGATGTTTCTTAAAAAATTTATATATTTCCAGAGACCCGGCGTTGGTCTAGCTGTCTACCGCGCACCGCAATACTCCTGCCATGCTGCGGCGGCATGTAAGCAAACCAGACAAGCAAGTGATTGACCAGTCTAGTCACACGATATCGTACCCCCACATGTCTTCAGTGTACGATGTATGTGTTGTCAACGACGGGTTTACCTGTCCAAAATTTAACTATTAGAAGAAGTGATGTATTGCTGGATTAGTACGAAAGCCTAATGGTAGCGTATATATATATATATATATATATATATATATATATATATATATATATATATATATATATATATATATATATATATATATGTATGTATGTATGTATGTATATATATATATATATATATATATATTATTTGATCGACATTTTTCGTAATTTCAATTATTTGTTTATTTTCTCGAAAGTTTGAAAAATTTATCGTTACTTCGAGATTTTTCTCGTTACTTCGATTATGTTCTCGAAATTAGAGAAAATAATCGAAATAACGAGAAAATAATCGAAGCACCGAGAGAAAATTCCAAATTTCGAATTTTTGAGATAAACTAGAAATAACTAGAAATACGTTACGAGGAAAAAAATCATTGTTTCTAGAAAATAATTGAAATAAAGAGAAAATAATTGAAGTAACGAGAAAGAAATCGAAATTTCGATTAAAAATATATAATCAATGCAACCAAAGTGGCACCATTAGGCTTTCGTAGATGAGAGGTAGTTGCGGCGAACACTAGCTTTCACTTGGCCACTGTCAAACATCTAGGGGCAAATAGACCAAGCAGGCCGTACGTCTTTCTTGATTTCCAGTTCTATTTAACGAAATGTCTTTGACCAGTAAAAGTCAAGTAATTTATATTACAGGTAAGAAAAAATCAATTATGTCCCACGTGGGTTTCCCGTGCCCATGGACTTCAACAATGCTGTGTGTTGTCTAGGACATGTGTCGCTCTTGGTGACATAAGATACACATCATGTCTCCACTCAATAGGTTTGGATGAATAAGTGAGTGGGTTTTGTTTAACGCCGCTACGAACAGTTTTTTAGTTATATCATGGCGTGTCAGCTTGATGTGGGGGGAAAGCTCGGAGTGGTGCAGGTCTTGGAAGCGACGGAGGAGAGAGGGAGAGAGCGGTAGATTCGGAGAGAGAGAGGGAGAGAGATGTTTTGTTTGTTTGTTTGTTGTTTAACGCCACACTCAGCAATATTCCAGCTATATGACGGCGGTCTGTAAATAATCGAGTCTGGACCATACAATCCAGTGATTAATATCATGAGCATCGAACCACGCAATTGCGATCAATGACATGCATCAACCAAGTCAGCGACCCTGACCACCCGATCCCGTTAGTCGCCTCTTACGACAAGCATAGTCGCCTTTTACGGCAAGCATGGGTTGCTGAAGACCTATTCTATCCCGGAGCTTCACGGTCCCTTGAAAGGATGGTACACACTTGCTTCCTGACCACCGGTCAGAAATTGTGCGCAGAGACCTGCGCTAGGTAGGTATATTGTAAAAAATGGAAACGAAAGCATTTTTGCTGCTGCTGTCAACCCGACTATACCACGTATGTCGTCCCTACGTTCAGCACAATGCAAGTGTTGGTGTTGCTGTTTACAGAGTTAAGGGAGGTAACTTTGACTCTGGTCCAGTACGTAGTCATCTTCCCGAGGCAAGGGCAAGAGAGAGAGAGGGCGGGAGACGGGTTGAGAAGGGGGTAATAGGTGTAAGAGAGACATACAGAGACACAGAGAGACACAGAGAGACACAGAGAGTGAGAGAGAGAGAGAGAGAGAGAGAGAGAGAGAGAGAGAGACGCAAGTGCAATAATATTGGAAGCAACGCGTCGTTAAGCCCAGCCTCTCATGCCACAGTGTAAAATGTGCCTTTATATAACCAGTGTAACATTGCCGTGTCATCCACAACCTTAAGTTTAGGTTGCTATTTAAAACAAATATGCATAGATAACACTCCACAGTGTCGACATTTGTTAATTTTCACACAATATGTTAGAGCTAAATGATTCTTTACTTTCAGGATAGGTTACGCTATCTCAAAGGAGTAATGTATATATATAGCCACAAGTGTCGTAATCTGTCTCTTCTCTTCAATAGGTAAGTTTGTCTGGACAAATATTTATTTTGTTGCTGTTACCGAATCCTTTCATTCGTTCATAGTGCATAACATAGGTACAATGTGTGAAGCCCATATCTGGTGTCCCCCGCAGTGATTTTGCTGGAATATTGCTAAAAGCGGCGTAAAGCCAAACTCACTCACTCACTCATAGTACATATTACTCAATTGCATGATACATGTCTCTTCTGTGACTAGTGGATAAGCTTTTGTGATCCTTAGGGATCTACAGCGCATTACAAAAAAAATGTTAAGTGATAGAACTGGAATAGTGTTCATAGTGAGGAAAAACCCAACTCACTCAGTCCAATTGCATAATACTATATTTTATCGAAAGTTAACCTTGAATAAAGATTTCATATAGTAAATGCATAACGGCAACGTTTGTTTGTTTGTTGTTTAACGCCGCACTCAGCATTATTCATCCTACATTGTATATATGACGTCGGTCTGTAAATAATCGAGTCTGGACCAGACAATCCAGTGACTGACATCATTAGCATCGATCTACGCAATTTGGATACGGTGACATGCATCAACCAAGTCAGCGAGCCTGATCACCCGATCCCGTTAGTCGCCTCTTACGAGAAGCATAGTCAGTCGCCTTTTACGGCAAGCATGGGTTGCTGAAGACCTATTCAACCTCGGATCTTCATGGGTACAAAACGCCAACGGGTTCGTAGAGGCGACCGTCATTCTTACGTCTTCCGCCACAACGACCGGTCCTCATAACCTCAGTTCAATCAAGCAAGCAAGCAATACTTTATACAGTATGAAGGCCCAAGGCCCATATAAACAAATACCAATCTACAAGTGAGGTGAGGTGAGGTGAAATGGGGTTTAACGACGCGTCCAAGATTATTGCACTTATATAACGACGTGCATGTACGTGTGCGTGTTTGTGTGTGGCTGCTTGTACTAGTCCGGACTGATTTATAGTGCTAGCTCACTGAGATACCATGCGGCAGTTTAACATGAATACCCCACTCAGACACAGTATACTGACTCCGAGCCGACCAGTCCTTGTTTGAGCCCCTAAATGCCGAGCGCCAGACAGGGTAACAACAAGTACCATCTTTTAACGTCTTTTGGTATGACGCGGTCGGGGATCGAACCCCGGACCTTTCGGTCTCCTGGCGGACGCACTACCACTAGACCACGGATGCGGTCCAATCTACAAGTGTGGTAGTAACAAAATACATAATTTAAACATTGTTTAATTAAATTTATATAGACAAAAGTAGATATCCGATTTTGATTCTTCAACACACTAAGTCTTATGAAACATTTTGTGTCTCCAACCTTTTAAGACATACAAACAATACCCAAACTAAGAGAAAGTAGCAGGTATCTAATATTTGAAGCCCAATTTTTATACCCAATATCGTGCAAATAAAGTAACGAGTTGAGGGTGAGGGGTGAGCTGTTGCGGTATTCATGTATTGATACCATTTCACACGAGAACCCAACACTTTGTACATGTGCGTTGATATGTATTGGATATCGGCAACATTTAAAATGGCAGTGTTCGTCTGACAAGGTTCATTTGATAATTTTTGCACCATAATATTTATAACAGTGACTACGTACCATCTTCCCGAGGCAAGGGCGTTAAAGTCCAATTTTCGCCCTCGCCGAACTAGGCTGGAATTTCAAGGCTCGATCGTAGCGCCACCAATGGCTTTTACGAGTTATGCCCCTTCTATGTCCCTCTAACTGACCAATCACTTGTATTTGCTTCAAATAAAATGGTGGCGCCCTGTCAAGACCGTGGAAACGATTTAATCGTTATTAAAGGTCTATTTTGAAATAAAACGGGTCCTACCTTGCGAAGTGCATCAAATCACTTGAGCATACTTGATTAAAAACATGAAAAGATTTGCAACATATCTGTCGACGCCCAGTTGGCGGCCGTATACATGATTCGCAAATCCTACAGTCAACCGAAATCTGCTCGTTTAAATCAATATTGTTTGCGAACAAGTGTCAAGTTTCTCGATTTTAATTGCACTATGCATAGATTCGTTACTCCAGCCAAAAGGTTTACTCCGGAATTCCAGCCTAGTTCAGCAAGAGGGGAAAATGGACTCAGCTAACGCCCTTGCCTCGGGAAGATGACTACGTACTGGACCAGAGTCAAAGTTACCTCCCTTAACTCTGTAAACAGCAACACCAACACTTGCATTGTGCTGAACGTAGGGACGACATACGTGGTATAGTCGGGTTGACAGCAGCAGCAAAAATGCTTTCGTTTCCATTTTTTACAATATACCTACCTGGCGCAGGTCTCTGCGCACAATTTCTGACCGGTGGTCAGGAAGCAAGTGTGTACCATCCCTTTATGGGACCGTGAAGCTCCGGGATAGAATAGGTCTTCAGCAACCCATGCTTGCCGTAAAAGGCGACTATGCTTGTCGTAAGAGGCGACTAACGGGATCGGGTGGTCAGGGTCGCTGACTTGGTTGATGCATGTCATCGAATCCCAATTACGTAGATCGATTCTCACGGTATCAATCACTGGATTGTATGGTCCAGACTCGATTATTTAAAGACCGACGCCATATAGATGGAATAGTGCCGAGTAAGGAGTTAAACAACATTAACAAACAAACTTATGGGGGTAAAAATGCAAAACCTAAAAAATGAATCATAATTCTTTGAAAATGGGTACAAATGTTTAATTGTGGGCAGCTAAAGAAATAAAGCATGTCTCAGACATAGGTATTCTGGCCTAACCTAGGTTCTTTTGCACCGTGTTTGTGACTCAGCAAGAAATAATGCATTTTTACTGTTGTTGTTTTTCTTGATCCATGAAAGTGAAAATAAATGGAGTTCTATCCAATTTTGTTCATATTGAGTGACAGAGCAACTTCAACAGAACCACAGTTATCCAGAACCCCTGGCGTGATACCTTTGTATGAGACATAATGTGTTCGTTAACATATCCACAATTAAAATTTTATGAAGCTTTTTCATAAAATTGTATTTTTTCTTAATGTTTGCATTTTTAACCCCTGAAAAGCAACACACACACGTGCAACCTGACAACCGGTGCAGAGATCCCCTTCCTATCAGAAAAGGTTGTAGATACTAGGGGCGTTCAATAAGTTTTGTAACTTCAATATAAGACCAAGTCGCAGAATATCTTTTGCACTTGTATTTTTCAATATATTCTCCATTCACCTCAATACACTCATCCATTTGTCCTTCAAGCTTTTAATATCACTTTTATAGAAATCCGCAGATTGGCCCTCTAACCACGCCTCTGTGGCAGCCTTTATGTCCTCGTCATCCTGGAAGCGTCTTCCACGTAGGGCAGATTTCATATGCCGGAGTAGGAAATAGTCACTGGGGGCTAAGTCTGGGCTGTAGGGTGGGTGATTTAACTGTTCGAATCCACATTTACATATGGCGGCCACACGCGATCATGGATTTCTTTTGCTTTGCATCCCTCCTTGGTGAGGAACATTTATTACAGCGCGTTGTTCATGTTTGAGAGAATCCATGTTTGTGACCACCCTTAGGTGAATGAAGCCATCACATCTAACTTATTGTTGTGTCTGGTACTTGTTATGCCACGTGTCAACCTGATGTTATGACTAGTGTCACACCTGCCACAAGTTGACATTGTTTGTGTAAACACAAATGCAAAACTTACTGAACGCCCCTCGTATTAAGGAAGAGTAGGTACGAAAACCATGGATGTGCCCCTGTAGTCAGTTACCTTTTGCCACTTGCAGCGTGTTAGGCGGATAAAGCATTTCTGCAGGGTTTCGTGTATTTTGATTCAAAACGTGTGTGTGTGTGTGTGTGTGTGTGTGTGTGTGTGTGTGTGTGTGTGTGTGTGTGTGTGTGTGTGTGTGTGCGTGCGCGCGTTTGTATGTCTGTGCGTGTGTGTGCCTGTGCGTGTAAGTGCGTGTGTGTGCCCGTGTGTGCGTGTTTGTGCGTTTATGTGCCTGTGCGTGTGTGTGTCTGTGCGTGTGCCTGTGCGTGTGTGAATTTGTGCGTGCGTGTGTGTGTCTGTGCGTGTGTGTGTCTGTGCGTATGTGTGTCTGTGCGTGTGTGTGTCTGTGCATGTGTGTCTGTGCGTGTGTGTGCCTGTGTGTGTGTGCCTGTGCGTGTTTGTGCTTGTGTCTGTGCGTGTGTGTGTCTGTGCGTATGTGTGTGTGCATGTGTGTGCATGTGCGTGTGTGTGTCTGTGACTGTGCGTGTGTGTCTGTGTGTTTGTATGCGTGTGTGTGTCTGTGCTTGTGTATGTCTGTGCGTGTGTGTCTGTGCGTGTGTGTGCCTGTGTGTGTCTGTGCTCGTGTGTACCTGTGCGTGTGTGTGTGTGTGTCCGATTACATTACACAGTTGATCGTAATGTAGTAACCGATGGCATCCAAAGACGCCGCAAAATTGCCGTGCAGATTTCAGCCCCTTACGCGAATCGGGATCCGATGATTGAACGATTATGACGTTTCATTGGTCAACACCATTCCCGTGCAAACATCCCTAATCAGTCACTCACCCTTGATCTGACTCTATGAAATTTATTCCAGAAATCTGCAGTCATGAAGATCTTTGTCGTCGCCCTTGTCCTCCTACCCCTTGTGTACTGCAGCTTCATTGACCGTGAGTGTTTTAGTGACTGATGCATTTATCTACCGCCAATTTTGCTTCAGAGGAGGTGTCGGGAAATGGGGTCTAACTTGGCGTCCAAGATTATTTCACTTATACAGCGACGTGCATGCACGTGTGTGTGTGTGACTGCTTATACTAGTCCGGACTGATGCCGATTTTATAGTGTTTAGCCCACTGTGATACCATGCCGTAGTTTTAACATGAATACCCCACTCAGACACAGTATACTGACTCCGAGCTGACAAGTCCTTGCTTTAGCCCCTTAATGCCGAGCGCCAGACAGGGTAACAACAAGTACCATCTCTTACCGTCTCAATTTTGTTTCAATGAAGCCGAGATATTAAGAGTGTCGTCTTTATTTTCTCATACCTACCTGTGATGGCGTAGCCTAATGGGAAACGTGTTGACAAGTCACGCCGCCTAGGGTTCGACTCCAAATATGGATTAAACATGCCCATTTCTGTTGTCATGTTGTCATGCAGTGATGTTGCTGGAATATTACAGAACGGCTTAAAACCACACTCACTCACTCACTCTGATGTATACTTCCTGTGTGTATTTCAAAAGGTGTGTCCAGCAACAACTTGGATACCTATTTCTATTGACATGTGTGTACAAAAATGTAACTCGAACACAAACCTCAACCATTGACAAGAATCGAACTCATGGCAAAGGAAAGTCCTCCTCATGACACAAGCTAAACACATACTGGATATTATATAATTATTATACCCCAATGATTTATCGTATAGATTCGTCATGCATGATAACCTGTATTGAATTTCGTTTCTGTTATTTTCTCAAACCAGAGTTTGCACACATCTTCGATGTCAGTGAGCTGAAGGGTGTTGTCCAGAAGATCGCTGACACCATCGGATCTGACGCCACCGAGGCTGCTTGTGAGAGTGAGTGCGCCACCATCCTGCACAACAACGCTCTCCTATCCAGTGGTTGTGACCTCGTCTGCAGATCGTAAGGATGTTTTTAAAATTAAAAAATTAATAAAAAATATGCCGAATTTTTATTTTTTTTATTTTACACATACCAAAAAAGTGTCACTTGATATGCTCAGTGTCCGGAAAAAGACGTATTGTAAATAAGAAAAAGGTAGAAGAGATTTTTGTATGTTTTGAAGCCGACATTGTTTACACATTTTGTTTATTTTCGTTTCACCCCATAACGCTTTGACGCTTCACCTGTTCGTCAGTCTTTTGAATAATCTTGTCATATAATGAGTGAGTGAATGAGTCATGTAGCAGAAATTTGCACTATAATGACAAGCGTCTCCCACATCATTAACTGTATGCTATCCTTTCACTTTAAGCTGACCTGCTTCTATTTGAAAGACGTTAAACCAGCATCCATTACTAAAGATGATACACCGTAAGGCTAAGCAACGCATCTAAAATAGAATGAATATCATTTGTAGACCTGCAAAAAATGTGTTCTTGCTTCCAGCTTCCAGTCCCTCGTCAGCCACTTCCACATCGCCTAGACCTGGGCACCGGTTCCAACATTGTCACACTAATAAAACTGTAAAAAAACTATGTTTGCGTTTATGGTTTTTTTTGTTCTTAACAAAAAGATATATTGTCGTGAGTAGGTGTAAACGACATCCATGGTAATGCTCTTACTGCATAAGACCGCCTCCGTGGACTAGTGGTAGAGCGTCCGCCCGGAGAGCGGAAGGTCCGGAGTTCGATCCCCGGCCGCGTCATACCAAAAGACGTTAAAAGATGGTACTTGTTATTACCCTGTCTGACGCTCGGCATTAATGGGCTAAAACCAGGACTTGTCGGCTCGGAGTCAGTATACTGTGTCTGAGTGGGGTATTCATGTTAAACTGCGGCATGGTATCTCAGTGAGCTAGCACTATAAATCGGCATTAGTCCGGTCTAGTACAAGCAGCCACATACATACACGTGCATGCACGTCGCTATATAAGTGCAATAATCTTGGACGCGACGTTAAACCCCATTTCACCTCACCTCTTACTGCATAAGCATGGTTCGTAACACCCATTTCACAAATCTCTCCACCGATGTAGTTATTGTACCCAGTGGTGCCGTTCATAGAGCATGCACATGCGACAGGGTATTATAGCACTAAAGTACAGATGCAGTGGTTGGTTCAAGTTCATGGTGCCCCAGATAAAGTGGTAAGTAGTTAAGGGCCGTACCCTGATAACCAAGCAGGCAGGAGTTATCTCCCCTACCGGAAGTGCCGCCAACTGGGATTGGCAAAGAGGGGAATGCTTGGTGATGCGGGCGCATCCAAGATGGCGTCACGTCCGTTTCCGCCAGGGCGTGCGCATGCCTTCAAGATGGCGTCACAAACACCTCCACCACCACCTCCTCCACCACCACCTCCACCACCACTTTTTTTTTTAAAAATGAAAGTGGAGGATTTTACGTGCGCTTCTGTTCCTTTTTTCATTTTTCATTTTACGAGCTCTTCTTATGTCCACCTCCTCCCCGGAACCAGATTTGTCGCCCTCTTGGAGGCGCACGCCTCCCCGGAAACGGACGTGACGCCATCTTGAAGGCATGCGCACGCCCTCCCGGAAACGGACGTGACGCCATCTTGGATGCGCGCGCATCACCCAGCATGCAGATACAGTGTGGTTCATGGTGCCCCAGATACAGTGGTGATTCACAGTGACCCAGATACAGTGGTGGTTCGTAGGGACTCTGCTGATAGTTACCGAAAGACACTTGGTAATATCAGTTGTCCAGATCTATTGAAGATATTTGGTTGTATAATAACACCTATTCCATGTTATGGTTCTGAAATATCGGGCACCTCATATTGTCATACTATTGAATCTGTACATATAACAGTTAAAGTCATATAGCTGGAATATTGCTGAGTGCGGCGTTAAACAAACAAATAAACAAAAATATAACATTTTGTAAATCTCGGTTGGTAGATCAACTTGTCATGGTATGGTTCTGAGGGAATATGGAAGAGTGCCTTTCCAAATTGTATATGTGACAAAGACAATTAGGTATAGGTGCAGATCATTACATTTTGCAAACCATAAGTTACAAAAACAATGTTATGTTAAAATCTTTGGATGATGTTGGCCATAATACAGGGGCAACGTAAATAAAAACATTATATTATTCTGTTGCCTGGATTAGTCAGGAAAAAGCATCCTCACATGTAGATCAGAAGTGTTTTTACTATAATTCAGTTTAAATCCCTTCTAAAAATACTTTAAGGTAGTTGACCTTCCTCAACATTTGAGAACATCCTATTTTAGATTTAGATGTTGTCTGTCTGTCTGTCTGTCTGTCTGTCTGTCTGTCTGTCTGCGCTCCCCTTCTTGTGGATCTGTTTTTCTTTAGGCAAATAAATCAGAATTCTGCTCGGATTGGCATAGTCAAAACAAAGTAATCTGGCCAAGACATTTTTAAGCCCAAGTATATCGATTATTGTTATCATTCAATAACAATGAAATAGCCAATTCCCTTCCACTGATTTACCAACCTGAAATAGAAATAAAAGAGAACAGTGAGATCTATGCATAAAGATTCAGAGTGACAAACAACTCTCTACAAGACTATTTGACAAAGGGATGACTTCATCTTTCCAATAGTCAGCATTTATAAAACAGTTGTTAAGGAAAGCCATTAACATATTTTTTTTATATTCACAGTGGTACAATTCTGGTTCATGAAATGCAGACAACACAAGAATATTCTTTCAGATGAAAATGTGTTATGTTGATATGAATCAAAAGAAAATTATCATGACATTCAGGGATTATATGTGTTCCCTGATTCAGCATATTCCCTGTAAATAAAGGCGACAAAACCATTTCCATGATCACAAACAATCTATCAACTAAATCAGAATACATTGTACGATTCCGAATTTTTCATAAGTATGTGCTTATGAATCACTATCATATAGTTATTGTACAAGGTTTTCGGGAAAAGGTGAGAGTAGCCTGCACAACCGGTGGTGTACGCATGCAAGGGCATGTCCACTTTTTCACTGAAAAATAACAAGGGAACATATGTTCAAAATAATCCGTGTTGTGTAGAGGTAAACGTCAAAGTTATGCAGACATGTCAGTGTTATGTGGATGTAAACGTCAGTGTTATGTAGAGGTAAACGTCAGTGTTATGTAGAGGTAAACGTCAGTGTAATGTAGAGGTAAACGTCAGTGTTATGTAGAGGTAAACGTCAGTGTAATGTAGAGGTAAACGTCAGTGTTATGTAGAGGTAAAAGTCAGTGTTGTGTAGAGGTAAACGTCAGTGTTATGTAGAGGTAAACGTCAGTGTTATGTAGAGGTAAAAGTCAGTGTTGTGTAGAGGTAAACGTCAGTGTTATGTAGAGGTAAACGTCAGTGTTATGTAGAGGTAAAAGTCAGTGTTATGTAGAGGTAAACGTCAAAGTTATGCAGACATGTCAGTGTTATGTGGATGTAAACGTCAGTGTTATGTAGAGGTAAACGTCAGTGTTATGTAGAGGTAAACGTCAGTGTTATGTGGAGGTAAACGTCAAAGTTATGCAGACATGTCAGTGTTATGTGGATGTAAACGTCAGTGTTATGTGGAGGTAAACGTCAGTGTAATGTAGAGGTAAACGTCAGTGTTATGTAGAGGTAAACGTCAGTGTTATGTAGAGGTAAACGTCAGTGTTATGTGGAGGTAAACGTCAGTGTTATGTGGAGGTAAACATCAGTGTTATGTGGAGGTAAACACCAGTGTTATGTAGACAAGTCAGTGTTATGTTGAGGTAAACGCCAGTGTTATGTAGACAAGTCAGTGTTATGTAGAGGTAAACGTCAGTGTTATGTAGAGGTAAACGCCAGTGTTATGTAGAGGTAAACGTCAGTGTTATGTAGACAAGTCAGTGTTATGTTGAGGTAAACGCCAGTGTTATGTAGACAAGTCAGTGTTATGTAGAGGTAAACGTCAGTGTTATGTAGAGGTAAACGTCAGTGTTATGTAGAGGTAAACGTCAGTGTTATGTTGAGGTAAACGCCAGTGTTATGTAGACAAGTCAGTGTTATGCATGTTGAGGTAAACGCCAGTGTTATGAAGACAAGTCAGTGTTATGTAGAGGTAAACGTCAGTGTTATGTAGACAAGTCAGTGTTATGTTGAGGTAAACGCCAGTGTTATGTAGAGGTAAACCATCTTTTGACGTCTTTTTGTATGACGCGGCCGAGGATCGAACCCCGGACCTTCCGCTCTCCGGGCGGACGCTCTGCCACTGGACCACGGAGGCGGTCAGTGTTATGTGGAGGTAAGCGTTAGTGTTGTGTAGAGGTTGACGTCGCTGTTGTGTAGAGGTAGACGTTAGTGTTGTGTAGAGGTAGACGTTAGAGTTATGTTTATTTTCGTACTAAACATCAACCAAACATAAATTTTACATATTTTTTAGCCTTTAGTTTCAATTTTCCTTTAAAAACTGCTCCTCGGTATTGGATATGATCATCTTAACCCCGGACGCTTAATAAGAACAGACTTAAAGATTATGCACCTAAGCCTTCGTAGTATTAAAAGCAAACCAGGTATCCTTGAAACTGTACTTGGACATGGTGATATAATCTGCATATCTGAAACATGGCTACACACGTGTGTACTGGCAGCGAGATTAATATTCCTCGTTTCCAGGCTCCATTTAGAAAAGACAGGTCAACTCGTGGGATTGGCCACATACGTAAGAGATTAAATGTATGTCAAACATATGGATCAGCTTCTTATAGTTGGGCTAGAGGCGATATGGGTACATGTTTAGTGCAAAACTCGTGATTATTTAATCGTTACTGTTTAGCGTGCAGATAAGAGTGAAGCGCACTGGGAAATAATTGATCAATCAATAGAAAAGTAGTTGATATGAATATGTACACTGTAAATACAGGAGATTTTAACATAGATATATTTAATCGAGTAAATCAAACATTTAATATCTGAATACACCGACGAACTAACATCTCGATTTAAACATGCTCGTGTCAAACATATTGCGAATAATATTCTTCCATACGATCAAAGGATACACAGTGGATCGAGAATGAAATACGCTCCGCAATAAGAAAACAAATTCGCCAAAATAAGAAAGCTAAAGACGTAATGTTCCAACTGATTGGGGGGCACGGGTTGCCCAGTCGTCTAAGGCGCCGCGATTCGCTGTGCAGAGTTGCGTCCCTTGGACACGCCAGAAACCTATGATTGTGGGTTCGAATCCCGGTTCGCCCCGATTATGTTTCTAGGTTTGTCAGCACCATACCCGTGCTCGTGGGTTTCACCGAAGTGGTAAACGTCTGAGACCTGCATCACTTCGGGCTTTCCTCCCACATTAAGCTGACACGCATTAACTGAAATAATGTTAAAAGCGGCGTTAAACCCAACTCACTCACTCACTCTGAATCTTCATGCACGAACCAAGACCGAACAAAGGCTAGTCAAAATCTTCAAAACAGAGATAATTTGCGATAGCACCACATACATGAATGATCCGGGGGCCTGCGCTGTTTAAAGGTGTCAACACAATGGCTGTGAACTGTTTCTTCATAAATACCCTTTAT